GGTTCTTCTTCTGATTTGGGAATGGGAGTGAGAGGTTCGGGAGTGTTATGTTTGAGTTGTTTGAGTTGGTACTCAATGATTCTACTTCTTAAATGTAAGAAGCGTTCTAGTTCTGCGACTGAAGGTTTTACGATATCGCCTTGCGGGCGATTTCTTGGCATACAATCGACAAAACTAGTAAAGGAAAAATGAAAATTGTTAACCTAGTCTATACGGCGTAACAGAAGGTTACACTATTGACTAAACGGGTCCCCGACAACGGCGCCAAAAACTTGATCGCGACTTTCTATGTCTAATACAACCTAACTGCAAGTGCACAGTCTATCGCGTAGTAATAATAGATATCGATCCCTCAGGGACTCGTAATCAAACTAGTGTTCTCGGGAGTTACTATGTTTAGCTAGGTAGAATATGTTTAAGGGAATAAGATTGTCACTAAAAGGGAACTAAGAATGCTACTTAGATTATAATTGATTGAATCGATACGTAGTAATTGTGTTCTTCAGGGATTTGATAAGTTATTGGTGTATGAAATAATTTTCAAAGTTTATTTAAGCAGAAAATGGTGATTTGAAGACTCTCGCCTCACAATGGTTATTGACGCTAATCACAATCCTAAGGGCCAAACGTACACTTTCATATCCCGTTCAGGGTTAAAATTACTTTTTGGAAATCTCTAAGTTCTAATTCATTTTAAAGTGCTTTCGCTGTTATTAAAATGAATGACTAGTGTTTACTATCTGACCTTACCGTAGCTTTCGCTTGTTGGTTCGTATCTTAATTAATTTCCCACTTTCATGGCAAAACTACTTTTAAATAAGTTCTCGCTTTCGCGACGAAGTTTATTCAGTAAATCAATTTTAAACACTCAGACCATAAGTTACTTTTGAAAAGAAAGTTTTTCAACCAGTTGTTTATCTAATCCCATTCGAATTATTACCACATATCGATTACTTAAATTTAGCTAAACATGGATTTGGGAAAGATAAAACATAAATAAAAATAATAAATAATGATTTGCATTATAATAAAACTGGAATCGATTGAAATGAGAAACCTGTAAATATTCCAATTGGCCTTTGGGCAGATCCTCCACAGATGTTGGCAGGATTCTGATCTCTATGCCAATTCGATCGTACAATGAAAGTAGAAATTACAGAAGAATGAAAATGGAAAACAGGAAAGGTAAAGAGAAACAAATAAAAATATAAAACTGGAAAATATGCTCTAGAAAATAAATTTGGCAACACTTCGTTGTATGAATGCAGCACCCTTTCTGAAGTCCCCTGCTTCCCTATTTATAGAAAATGGAATCCCAACGGTTATCATTGAAGATGATGGACTTTGAGGCAGATAATTTAGGGAGTAGTGGTCCACTCTGTGGGAATTGGAACTGATTCTTTAACGTGTAATTGAAGTGGGGCGTTTTTGCCTGCATGACGATCGTCACAAGGTGTGACGGTCGTCACCCGTGTGACGGTCGTCATGAAGCTGTGACGGTCGTCACATCAGCAAAAACAGCTTCCTGCGCTTTTCATTGTGTTTTCACTCCTTTTTCGTCCATATTTCATCTGAGATTGCTTCTTTTCTTCATGTTGCCTTATTTAGACGTGATCGTTGAATACCTGCAAAACATCAGACAAATAACACGGAAATAACCCGAAATCGGATCGAAAACGGTTAAACTTTAGTTGAATTATGCATCAAAATATATATACGATTTCATGTTATCAACTGATCTTCTTCTTGAGATATCAATTCTTATATATCAAATACAAGTGTTCAATGATAGAGGAATGAAAATAAAATTTGAATTTTTGCAAGAAGGTTAATCTCAAAGTCTGAAATTATGAGGTATATAAATGCCTCTAAACACCTTTTTTAAAAGAGTGCAAATGACCAAGAGTTGCCATGGTTCAAGAAGAAATGAGAAAACAAAATTCTGTCAACAGATGCAATTTTCTAGCTCATTGTGCCAGTGGTAATCAGTTACCATATGTGGGTAATCGGTTACCAGCCTCAACGTTTTAAAAAATTTGAAAGTTATCACATGGTAATCGATTACTAGGAAATGGTAATCATTTACTCTTAACAGATTTTGCAAAAATACTTTGAAACAGAGGCAAAAAAATGCATTGTAATGATTTAAAACAATTCCAATATGATATGCAAGAATGAGAGATGAAGTTGAACACTTGTACAAGCTCTATAGAAGCTAAATGATGTGCCTTTGTTTGTATAGAACTTTATCTTCATTCTTTACCAAGTCTTAACATATTGATGTGAAATTAAAGCTCTTCAAAAATTGACTTCTTTGAGATTCTTTTATCCACCCTTGTATGTTGTAGAGTGTATCGTCATTAAAATCGTTTGAGAAGTCATGTCTTCACAAGTTGTCCCTCGACTGCCTTGGGAATGAACACACTTGAAGAAGTCTGGTTGGGACATACCCCTAATCTTGACAGACTTAGAGTATTTGGTTGTTTATCCTATGGTCACATTAGGCAAGACAAGATCGAATCTAGAGCTCTGAGATGTATGTTCCTTGGATACCCTGAATGAGTCAAAGCTTATAGGTTGTGGTGCCTAAAGCCAGATCACATAAGGTGTATCACAAGTCGAGATGTGGTTTTCAATAAAGTAGAAATGACTTTTAAGAAAATTGATGATGTTGGTCGAAGTACCAAAATCTCCAGAGAAGAGTTGGAACAGGAAAAAATTCCTATTGAGGAGGAGCGTAGTGATGTTGAATTGTTGTTGTTAAGGTGTATAAAGTCAACTAACACTATATTCTTGGCACTATTAGTGTATGTGGGTGACATACTATTGACAGATCATGAATTATAAGAATTTGAATCACTCAAGAAGACAAAACCTTCACTCAACATTTTGCATCAAGAACCTAGAAGACTTGAAATTCTTCTTAGGTTTGACAGTTGCTCAATCTTCAAGAGATATTTCCATCTGCCAAAGAAAATATTGTCTTGAGTTACTTTCAGGCACAAGCAATTCAAAGCCAGCTAACATACCACTTGATCTTGCACTAAAGTTAATTAGTGATGATAACCTTTCTTATGAGAATATCGATGCCTATAGAAGATTGGTTGGTATATTAATCTATCTAACCACAACCAAACTAGACATTGCTCATGCCACACAACAATTGAGTCAGTTTGTGGTTTGCTCTTTTCAAGAAAATCAACTCTTCAATTGTAGAGATTCAGTGGTGCAGATTGGCGAGGATGCTTAGACACTCGCAGATCCATTTAAGGTTATTGTTTCTTTCTTGATCATTCTCTAATTTCCTAGAAATCTAGAAAGTAAAGCATTGTGTCTTGTTCTTCAGCTGAAATTGAATATATACATGGCTTTTGCTGCAGCTACCATGGAATTGTAGTGGATAACATTTTTCATGAAAGATCTTGGTCAAAATTGCATTAGACAACTTGTAAGCTATTGTGATAGTCAAAGTTGGAGCTGTCAAAATGAGCTATCCGGCTCTAAACGCGTCGGTTCTTGCGAGCCTCAGGTTTTTTAAGGTTAGCGTTAAAAAAACCTTGTTGTAATATGGACTCGAAAGTTACTACCTGAGTCGGGTCCTATATGGACTCCGGGCTACCCGACCCTAAACAAGATTTTTTTTAAATAAAAAATTAAAATAAAAAACTCATAATATTTATTATAAATGAAATTAAAAATTATATTATTTTAAACATAGTATATTTTTTATTACTATATTATCTTTTATAAATACTATAATGTGTTTTTAAATACAACACATATCTAAATTGTTTAAAATAATACTCAAATATTTAACATAAGAGAAACTAATAGAATACGAAAAAAAGAGTGTTGATTATATTAATGCATAAGATTTTGAAGAGAAATATTAAATAAAATAAAAATAAATTTTAGTGAGACGAGAGAAATTAATATATTATTTTGTAGTAAGACAATATAAGTATTAATATATATTTAAAAATTTATAATTATGTGGATCCTAGAGACTACCCATGACCCATACGGACTAACCCTAATAAATAACAGATTTTTTTAAGTCGAGTTAAAAAAAACTTAGAAAATATAGATTCTAATTTTAAGACTAAAATTTTATAATTTTTCAAGTCTGGTAGACCTGTCCATATAAATATCTCATTTTAATAGCTCAAGTCAAAGGCCTATACACGTAATGGTCAATTCTATCTTCTACGAGAGAACCAAAGATTTGAACATTGACTGCCACAATGTCATATTAATAGTGCAAGAATGGCTCACTAGATTATTTTCTATTGCCTCCAAATCTTAAGTAGCTGTTATATTCACCAAGGTATCCAATACTCCACCATTTCATGCATTAGTGGTCAAGTTTAGACTTGTGGATATCTTCTTTCATTTTATTTTACATTAATGTCTGTATCTAACAAAATCTGTATACCCTTTTCAAATGACAAGTACAACAACTATTCCACACCATAAATATTTGATTAGTTACCTAAAACTGAGAGCATAGATTAAATGGTTAGCTTTCAACGTCCTTATGCTATTATAAAATGACTTAAAATTAAATATGAATATGTTTTATTCAATGAACAGACAGAGAAATATGTTTTCTCTATGTGAAGTGAAGCAGCAACACACCACAAATTAACTTGAAATGGGACCAACATGCACAGTGGTCCCTCTTCTGCAACACGTGAAATTGTATAATATTGATTGTCCTATCCAGAAATCATAGCTGAGAAATTCTTATTGGATGGAAAGTATTTTATGATATTATTATCACATTATGCGGATATAAAAGAAAATAATTTCTAAAAGATATGTGGTTGGAGAAGCAAATGAAATATGATACAGGCCAATAGAAACATAGGCATAGATTTCATAAGATATGGACCTTCAATTTTTCACAGTTGAAATAACATATAAATAACACTCATAACTCATCACATTCAATAACCATTCTCAACATTTCTTAACACAGTAGGCACTAAAATACTATAATGGCCGCTTCCACAATGTCTCTCTCTTCTTCATCATTGGTTGGGAAGGCAATCAAACTTTCTCCATCCAATCAGGACTTTGGGGTGGGAAGAGTTACAATGAGAAAAACAGTCACAAAGAAGGTTTCTTCTGGTAGTCCATGGTATGGACCGGATCGTGTCAAATACTTGGGTCCATTCTCCGGCGAAGCTCCATCATACCTCACCGGTGAGTTTCCCGGAGATTACGGTTGGGACACTGCTGGACTTTCAGCTGATCCAGAGACCTTTTCCAAAAACCGCGAACTAGAGGTCATCCATAGCAGATGGGCTATGCTGGGAGCCTTAGGGTGTGTCTTCCCGGAGCTCTTGGCTCGCAACGGTGTCAAATTCGGGGAGGCAGTGTGGTTCAAGGCAGGATCACAAATCTTCAGTGAGGGTGGACTTGACTACTTGGGTAACCCAAGCCTTGTCCATGCACAGAGCATTCTTGCGATATGGGCAACTCAGGTTATCTTAATGGGAGCTGTTGAAGGTTACCGCATTGCTGGTGGACCTCTTGGTGAGGTGGTTGACCCACTGTACCCGGGTGGTAGCTTTGACCCATTAGGCCTTGCGGAAGATCCAGAAGCATTTGCGGAGTTGAAGGTGAAAGAACTGAAGAATGGTAGGTTAGCGATGTTCTCAATGTTTGGATTCTTCGTTCAAGCAATAGTAACAGGAAAGGGGCCTATAGAAAATCTTGCTGACCACTTGGCTGACCCGGTTAATAACAATGCTTGGGCATATGCCACAAACTTTGCTCCTGGAAAGTGAGGAAAAACAATGATAAGTGACTAACTTGATTATGGCTACAATGTGTGTATTTGCTATTCTAGTATACAGTGTAATATATGGTGCATTAAGAGACTGAAATAAATGTTATCATATCATGCGGGGTTGCATTTTTTCATTGCATATTCTAGATTTTGTTAATTATTTATCTTAATCATGAATTTGAGGCAAGTATTTGAGATTTAAGAAATTGAGAAGCCATTCCAATATAAAGCTCAGAGCTTCATACCAGTGGCATTGGGGGAGTGAATGAAGTCCAAACTTGTAAATCATTTCTCCAGCTGCAGTGAAAATTAGTGAAAAAATTAGTGAAAAATGAATAAGAGAGGTGTTCCATCTGAAAGAGGATTTTACTTAAAACATAAAATTGATAGAAAGATTATGAATCAAAACTTGCAACACAAAACACTGTAAGTAAAGAACTTTATATTTCATTACATTAACAACTTTAACCATATAAACTGTTGGAACTTTAATTAATTAATGGTGGAACTTTAATTAATTATAGTGGGAATTGGAAATATTTGTTGACAATTAATGAGCAATAAATGAACACAAGTGAGAACTAATATAGAAGTGAATTTGAAAAGATTCATTTTAGTCCCACATTGAAGGGAATGGAAATATTAGTAGTGTTTATATATTCCAACTTTGTCTATTGGGTTGGGCCCTAAAGGGCGCTCAATTTTGTGAAAGGAGTGAGGACACACCCATGACCAACAAGACACGCGCGCCGCCGTCCGTCCGGTCCGGTCTAGATGAATTCGAATTTCTCAGTCTCCCACCATTTTTTCCACTCCCCACGAATTTCTCCCCACTCAGGTGCAGTTTGCTGCCTATAAATACAGGTAGAAATTCAGAAGTGGGTACATCGGATTTCACAAATTCACACGAATTTTGATTTCCCTCTTCTCTTTCTCATTTCTCTTCATCTCAAAAACTCTCTTTTCTTGACTGGTTATTTTCATTCGCGGGATGTTTTATCCTGGAGGCGTCGTCGTAAATTCGACTGCTTTGCATAATTTGGCAGTACGGCGAAACGTCTTAAAGAAAGCGACCTAGTACGCGACTCGTCCCGATAATTTCCTTGTGCTAAACTTTAATTTTCAGATCCGAAGATAATTTCCTTGTGCTAAACTTTAATTTTCAGATCCGAAGAACAACATAAACAATAGATGGTAACATTTGTTCAAATATAACATGCAAATTGCCTTTCAGCTTTATAACATTTAGGGAGACTCATAACAACTCTGTAACTTTTTTTTATGGTATGAGATGGAATAGAATCCAATAAATTCAAAAAATTATAAGATTTTATTATTTGAGGCGCTTCGAGTTGGTCATTAGTTTGAAAATAAATTCTAGCAAGAGTTATTTGTATGGAATTGGGGTCGAATCTTTTTACATGCGAGTTGCTAAACATTTTCTCGCTTTTAAAATTGGTTTTACGCCGTTTAAATTTCTTAGGGTCTATGTGGGGGCAATCATTGCGGGACTCTTTTTGGAGGACGGCTATTGAGTGTAAGAAGATTTTCAAAATAATATTAAATAAAATGATCGTATTATTTGAAATAATAATATAAAATGCTGAATATTATTGGTATAGTATGTTATGTCATTGGTTAGCATTTAACTAAAAACAGTTGCAACTTATAAGCATTGCTAATTTTTAGCAAAGCATTGTTACTGTTCGGTGTAACGTAAAATGATGCAATACAATATTTTAAGGGATACATCTGTTCCCAAACATAATGAAGCATCGTTATAAATTGAATGTTTCTTGACATTATGAAACACACAAAACAAAAATTACAATCTGTCTCAAACTATTTTCTCAATCTAAATTATCTTTTTCTTCTCTAATGCATGAGAGCAAGTAAAACAATTATTCTTTTGTAAAATACTATCAAATATGAGCGCTTAGAGAGATTGTGCAATTCTCTTTAAGAATTCCAAAGTATCCGGTAGAAAATTTGCAGGTAAACCCGTTTGCATGCAATATACCAAGATTAGTGGGGCGAATTGTTCCTTAAACTTAGTGTGGAAACATAGGTTTTGAAAGTTTATCAAGAAAAATTATTTTTCTATTTTCATCTCCATTAATTATTAGTTTTGCAGCAGTCCCAAAGACTATACATCTAAAGGTTTCTTTCAATAGAGGGAAGAGTTACTTTAATTAACTCGATGCTCACTAGTCTTTCCATTCACCACCTCTGATTCTTCAAAGCTCCATCCAAGGTTTTGCAGGTTTTAACTTCAATTTAGAACAAGTTCCTTTGGTTTGGTTCGAACGATAAGCGTGGAATTCATTGGGTTAGCTGAGAAGCATTGTGCAAACCAAAGGAGGATGGTGGAATTGGTTTGAAAGACCCCAGGCTGTTCAACAAGGCACTAATGTTGAAATGGTTGTGGCATTTTATTACGGATAATAGTTCCATTTGGGTAGGACAGCTAGAAGCCAGATACGATAATTATGGGAGGAATATTTTGTTCAGGAGAGTGAATTGTTCAAGCTCTCATCATTCCTTGTGGTGGAAAGACCTGATGAAGCGCGGTAATACTGCTAACGAAGTCCATTTCGAGGATATGGTTTCAATAAGACTTGGGGATGGTGCTGTTGGAAACAAGACCTTTTGTGTTTAAGAAAAAATGTGTGGGAATATTAGAGGCTTAAAGAAAAACTTGATAGGTGGAAGAATTATTTATGGAAGAGAGAACTTTGTATTTTGCTTGATACAAAAGTGTAGAATTACATCTCTATTTATAGTACTCTAAGGAGAACTCTAGACACACTAATTCTAGAGAGTTCTCAACTCTAGAAATTCCAAGAGTACTCTAGAAAGTATTACAACTCTAAGAAATATCTAGACACTCCAAACATTACAAGAGTATTCTAGAAACATTAATTAAAATTACTTAAGTCCAAAACAACTAAGCCCAAAAGTCCAAATAATATTTTTAGGCCCAAATCAAGTTTAATTTTATTTTCAACATCCCCCCTTAAACTTGATTTGTGACTCCAAGCATACTCCTTAGCTTTATGAAAGTTTCCAACTTTAGTGGCTTGGTGAAAATGTCGGCAGCTTGATCTCGAGACATCACATACTTCAACCTCACATCCTTCTTCTCGATGCATTCTCTTATAAAGTGGTAACGGGTGTCGATGTGTTTACTTCTTTCATGAAATACAGGATTCTTTGCCAAAGCGAGTGCTGATTTATTGTCAACACATATTTCCATAGGATCTTCTTGTGGCATTTTTAACTCTTTCAACAAGTTCCTTAGCCAAACTGCATGGCAAACACATGATGTAGCGGCGACATATTCAGCTTCACAAGTTGACAGTGTGACGATAGGTTGTTTCTTTGACATCCAAGTGAAAGCAGTATCTCCCATAAAGAATACAAAACCAGTAGTGCTCTTTCTATCGTCCACGTCTCCACTCCAATCGCTATCACTATAGCCAACAATTTCATAATTGTTAGAAGAGTAATAGTGTAAGCCAAAGTTTGTTGTACCTTTGATATATCGAAGGATTCTCTTTGCCGCCTTGAAGTGAGTTGTTGTTGGAGCTTCCATGTAACGACTTACAACTCCTACAGCATAGAGAATATCCGGCCTTGTACTTGTCAAGTAACGCAGACTTCCAACCAAACTTTTGTAAAGAGTTGGATCCACAATCTCTCCATTTTCATGCTTACTCAACTTGCTGCCACATTCCATCGGGGTGCCAACCGGATTAGCATCATCCATCTTGAACTTTTTAAGGACTTCTTTTGCATAGCCTTCTTGGGTGATAAAAATTCCTTTGTCTTCTTGCTTTACTTCAATGCCAAGATAATATGCCATGAGCCCTATATCTGTCATCTCAAATTCATTTGACATGTCTTTCTTGAACTCTTCGAACATGCTTAGATTGTTCCCAGTGAAGATCAAGTCATCAACATATAAGCACACGATCAAAATATTTCCACTTTGCGCTTTAATATAGAGTGCATGCTCATATGGACACTTGATGAAGTTCTTGTCTCGAAAGTACTTGTCAATTCGAACATTCCAAGCTCTCGGTGCTTGCTTGAGTCCGTACAACGCCTTTTTCAACTTGAGGACTTTTTCTTCTTGCCCTTTTACTTCATATCCTTGTGGTTGCTCAATATAAACTTCTTCTTCGAGAAAACCATTCAAGAAGGCCGACTTCACATCCATTTGATAGATCTTCCATTCATTCTGGGCTGCCAAAGAAATGATCAGTCTAATAGTTTCAAGACGAGCAAGTCAATTCCTTGTCTTTGACTATAGCCTTTTGCCACCAGTCTTGCTTTGTATCTCTCCACGTCTCCTTTTGCATTCTTCTTCGCCTTGTACACCCATCTTACTCCGATTGCTTTGTGTCCTCGTGGAAGTGTAGTAAGTTCCCACGTATCATTCTTCGTGATTGACTTTATTTCTTCATCCATGGCGTCTCTCCACTTTACATTTTCAACAGCTTCTTGATAGCTTAGAGGTTCGCAATCACCAAAAAGACAAAAGAGGTTAATGTCATTTTGGTTTTCGGTTACCTCATAAAGCTCTTCAATGCTCCTTAATCGTGGTGTCCTCTCACTTGAGCTTGTTTCATCTAACCTTGGTGTCGGTGAGGTAGGTGGTGTAATATGTTCATCTATCATTGGTTGTTCCATTTCATCTTCTTCTTCTTCAAAATAAGGAAGAAAATCATACCTGTCTTCTTGAACACTCCAATCCCAACAATTTTCTTCTTCGAACTCCACGTCACGACTTATGACAATCTTTCCGCTATTTGGATTATAGAGCTTGTACCCTTTGGAGCTTGAGTCGTAACCCACAAATACATACTTCTCACTTTTATCATCGAGCTTTGTTCTCCTTTCATCTGGAACGTGGGTATATGCAATGCTTCCAAACACTTTGAGGTGAGAGATACCTGGCTTCCTTCCACTCCATGCTTCTTGTGGTGTCTTCTC